CTGGAGTGTAAAGCTGCTGAAGAGTGTTTGCTGCCTTGCCAACTTGGCAACAGTTTTTTTTCTTTAATAAAAGAAGTTACCATAGACAAAGATTCCAGATGTGCCAGAACTATTTTTATTAGGGGCCCAACTGAAAGTGCATTCAAGTGAAGTATGCATTTTCTTTCATAATTGCCAAATGTATTTTATTATGTCTCAGGAAAAAGGGCACAAGAAATAAGCATCATTAGTATATTTTTATGACTCATTAATTTTAATGCATCTCTCTTTCATTAAAATTAATGCAATTAAAAGTCATTTATATCAATCTTCCCCTGATCTGGATTGTTCCAGATGTTCTGAATTATAACTACGTAATCGTTGACTGTTGTCCATCGTGACTAGGAAGGATGAAAATAGCAGTCCAAAACACAAGGCTGGATCTGTATATACACTGAGAAATGGTTTAGGTAGATCGTACCATTTAATTTATTTATGTTGATTTTATTTTAATAATAAGAAAACCAAAAGGGTAAAACTCTGTAAATCTGGTTGAATTTTGAACGCTAGAAAAAAAGCTAATAAGCCTTCTACATATTCTTATTGAATTGTCATAAATCAAATCTATATTACTGTCTTTGACCATATAGTAAACGAAAAGGGCAATTTAATGTGGCAATTTTTGATTACAAGAAAAAAAACAATGACACTATAAAAAGCATATCTAATTAACAATGCTCTCTGAGTTTCGTGGTCTCTGAGCTTGGTTGTTTTCTTGCAGATGTTTCATAACCAAACTAGGTAAAATGTTAAGCCCGTAGCTACAAATATTCTGTAATTTAAATTTTTGCACAATTGTATGACTTGGTGAACATTTCTGGCTACCTTAGTATGTGAGTGCAGAGTCAGCCCCTCTTAAAAAGTAATGAACATACAATATTAACAGTTTGACCCCAAAATTTAGAGATGATTGGGAAGGTAAGAGCACATGTTGGGGCAATATAAAAAGGAAACCATATGAGAATATGATCAAGATTTTCTCCCTCACTGGAACCACAAGGGCAAAGTCTCTGTAAATAAGGAATCCTATGAAATCTTCCCACCAAAAGTGCTGGTGGAAGGGTATCAAAAGCCCCATTTCTATTTGCTTAAATTTTTTTCTGGTTGTTTGTTTAGTTTTAGATTCCATCAATATCCTGCAATAAAAGTCTTGTGGTTATCTTCTTCTTTTTTTAACTTTTTCTCTTAAGTCTCTGACTAATATTTGATATTCAGAATATTGCAGCGTAAATTCAGCACCAGAAAAGTAAAGACAAGATGGCTGAGGCGTCATTTAACTTCTTTATAAACACATAAAGTAAATTTTACAATTTACACATAGAGTAAATTTTGCAATACCAGTTGTAGATTTCTCCAACATGGAGCAAACTCAAACAGAAGCAGACATGTTACAGGTTCAGAGCAGAACAGCAACTCAGGAGCTCAAGAAACAGACATCAGTTTCACTTTAGTTCAGCAGGCAAGCAAGACATACAGCAGAGGGGAGAAGCAGTTTCATTTTCAATAGACAGGCTTAGAGCTTAACATAGCTTCAGAGCTGCAGAGCTTAATATGTAGAGCCACAACTAGGCTACTTCTAGTTTCAGTTTCTTTTAGTTTCAGTTTCCAAACAGTCCTCATTGGCTGACTTAGTTGCTATGCCTATTCATTGGCTGACCTTGTTACCATGCTTTATTCCAGTTCATGAATGTACTCTGACATTTGATACTTCCAGTGAAAATACATTAAAATTGTACTTTTCATGACACAGAAGAGTATAACATACCTTCTTTACAGAGTTCGGTGTGTGCCCTAAAATATGATATGGAGCTGGAAGTAATAGGAACATCAACCATTATAAAATTTGGTTCAGGCTTGATTTTAGGAGATTGGAATTTCAAATTTTATAACCGCTGCTTATCAACAACAAAATACAGAATTCTCTAATTCTTTGCATCCATCTAGCAATCAACTGCTATAGATTTTTACAGACCAGATTTGGTGGCTCTATCAAAGCAAAATCTTGGAAACACATTTATCAACAGGTGAAATATACAAATGGCTTCACATTTTTACTGTTTTAACAAAATGGGACAGAATTTTCAGGCACAGAAACCTGTTTGAATAGATAAAGGTTGTCCAGTTTCAGAGATATAGGTGCCGTAATTTAGATTTTTTTTTCCAGAAAAGAATGCCTACGACTTTTTTATTCTGAGACATAATTAGATGACACAGTAAAAGGCAAAATTTAGCCCTCCTCTCATAAAATGTGGTTATAGAAGAGCTTCTGATGAATCACTCTTTGAGCTTTGAAGGTAAAGTTGATATTCATTACACTATTCTCTCCACCGTTTACATATCCCCTTGCAAAGCATTCTGTAGGCAATAAAATCTATAGTATATATAAGCTTTGTGTACAGACGTATCTGTTTTTCTGAAGGATTTCAAACTACAGATTCATATCTTGGGATTCTTGTCTCTGCCTCAACCCACAGTGTGGCTGAATTGAGCCAAATCAGTTTGATTCAATATTCATTATCCATACATGATGCACTAAGGGATCTCAATGAATTGATATTTGGTAAAATCATATTGATCAATAGCTTTTTAAAAATGCTGTTCATTTTGAATATTCAGCCTCTTTTTCCTTATCCAGTTAGGTTACCAAAAATATAGAAAATTGAGTATAATATTGGAAAGAAATAAACTGTACCATTTTAATTTTGAGATGGTTGCTAAGCATTAAAGTCTTTATTATATAATTGCTTTGTGTGTGTGTGTGTGTGTGTGTGTGTGTGTGTGTGTGTGTACATGCACTTTGGTGTAGTGGTTAAGACATGAGGCTAGAAACTGGGAGACTGGCAGTTCTAGTCCTGCCTTAGGCACAAAGCCAGCTGGATGATCTTGGTTAATCATTTTTTTTTAATCCTAGAAAAGAGATAATGGCAAACCACCTCTGAAAAACCTCACCAAGAAAACTTGTCCAGGCAGTTTCTGACAATTGGACATGATTGAATCAGAGGGGGTATTCAGCAGGTTCTGACCAGTTCTGGAGAACCAGAAGCAGAACTTTTGAGTAGTTCGGAGAACCAGGAAATACCTCTGACTAGAGATTTTACAGTATCCTTCCCCTGCCACGCCCACCAAGCCACGCCCACAGAACAGGTAGTCAAAAAATTTGAATCCCACCACTGGACTGAATAGAAAGGAAAAAATGTCTATATAGGAAAAAATAGATCAGCGAAATGAATTTATCAAAAATTAAATCACATTTTTTTTTAAAAGGAATACCAATTTAAAAGATATTCCTATTTACTATTTTTCCCAATGGAAGACATTTAAGCCTACTTAGAAGCTGAATTTTAAGTGGTTATATTTGCCTTGCTATGTGATATATTGTATGTGTGGGAGCCATTATTTTTTTAAATTTGATTAAACTTTTATTGTTTACTGTTAGCTTTGTCATTGGTTCATATTCTCCAAGTCTAAGTTCTCAGCCAGATATTTTCTTCCAATATTGAGCAACATTTATTCTCACTGCTGTAAACATATATCACTTTCTCATGATATTGATATCATAAATTGTAATTAATAGATAATTCTAATTGTAATTAGTGTATAAACAATATATTTCTTTGTCTTTTTTATTTTCAATATCCCAAGTCATATAAACAATAGAATGTTAATAAATTAATACTGCTCAAATATCATTGTACTGAAACAATATAATATATCAAAATGTATAATAGAATTAAAGGGAGGAATGAATATAAACCAGGGCTGTCAAACTCCCGGCCTGTGGGCTGGATGCATCACGTACTGGCCATGCCCACCCCCGGTTTTACGAAGGGGAAAAAAGTCCAATATGTCACGTGATTCAGCTGTGACAACATGAGTTTGACACCCCTGATATAGACCATCCCGATTTAGAACTAGTAAAAGGATTTAGAGCTAGTAAAAGGACTGCATATTTGAAGTGTTGAAGTTTATGTTTTAGCAAAACTGGAATACAGGAAAAGTTCACTGCCCTAAGACTTCTGTTTCATGTAAAATCTGTTGTTATCTAGTAATACTGTAGTACTGTACAAACTTGAAAGAGCCAACATAAGAGATGTTTAAATATTGTGAGACTAAAAATTTGAGCTGTATTTCAGTTTAATTCTGTGAACATAATGTACTACCATATTCTTTACAAATTGTAAAGTGATCTTGGAAACTTCCTGTTGAATTGGACTACAGGTTCTGCATGGACTGATTGTGTTCTTTGGTCAAAATAATATGTATTTATTTAGCAACAGCAATAGCACTTCAACTTATATACCACTTTGTATTGCTTTACAGCCCTCTCTAAGCAGTTTATAGTATCAGCATATTGCCCCCAACAATCTGGCTCCTTATTTTACCGACCTCGGAAGGATGAAAGGCTAAGTCAACCTTGACCAGTGAGACTCAAACTGCCCAATTGCTGTCAGTGGCAGTCAGCTGAAGTAGCCTGCAGTACTGCATTCTAACCACTGCATCACCACGGCTCTATTTAGTATAATTTACATGGCCACATACATTTGTATACCACTGTTCCCCATAGAGAGTGTTTGTTCAGGTTTTTTTTTAGATGTATCCTTCCATATCAGAGTTTGTTGGTTTGTCGCTGCCCCAATATAGATACTTTAAGGAAATATTTTAAGGAAGTATTTAAGAAATACTTTAGACAATATTCAAGGCAATAATTTGTGTGTTCTATAAGGTCTATTCCTGTTTATGCTGTAATAGAGCCTGTGTTGGTAGATTATGTTATTTCACTTGAAAGAAATTCATGGCAGATCTCTTTTACATCCCTAAAACTTATCTGAAACAATGTATAATTTAACATTCAAGAAGGAAGTAAGAGATAAAATATGAGCATAACATTCAGAAAACTCTTGTAAAATGTATATTTATAAAACCTTTTATAGCTTCTAACTTTTCATTCACTGCTTTCATAGGTTCCAAATTCAAAGAGGAAAATCTGATCCCTCTGGGTACAAGAGCCTTGGAGACAGTTTTAAAACTATATTCCGGACGGAAGGGTAGGAATACCACCATACATTATAACTTTATGATTTTACTTGTTTAAAAATGTGATTGCACTGCATTTCATTCATTTCACATCTGTACCTTTTTTCATTCTGAACTAGAGTTCTAAGGTAAAGAAAACATACTGGGTTGTTCATTGCAATTAGAATATTTTTAACCAATTGGTATATTAAAGATGCTTCTGGTATATTAAACTTTATGATGTGTAAAGGCTTACATGACTGGGGCTGAAGTGTTTACAATATTTCTTTATTAAACTGAAAAGGGTATGGTTTTATTAATTATTACTGAATGGCAACCTTTATATATTACAAATACTCCTTGCAGTAATGCTAAGGAACTAAGAAAGTGGGCCAGAGCTGGTATTCAGCAGGTTCTGACCAGTTCTGGAGAACCGGTAGCGGAAATTTTGAGTAGTTCGGAGAACTGGCAAATATCACCTCTGACTGCCCCCCCCCCATCTATTCTCTGCCTCCCAAGTCCCAGCTGATCGGCTGGGTCTTTTGTTGCCCTTTACAGGAGAATGGAGCTGGAAAGCAGGTTAGTGGGATGGGGAGAGAATGGGAATTTTTGCAGTAACCTTCCCCCTGGAGTGGGGTGGGAATGGAGATTTTACAGTATTCCCCTGCCACACCCACCAAGCCATGCCCACCAAGCCACACCCACAGAACCGGTAGTAAAAAAAATTGCATCCCACCACTGAAGTGGGCATATGTAGGACGGTGAAACCATCTTTTGTATTTTAATTGTGAGAAAGACTGTGATAATTTGACATTTTACTGACATCACAGGAAGTAACTTGATGTCACGTTTAAACAAAAGAAAAATAGGAAAAGATTCCTTGAAATTTATGCTTAATTTAGAGGTCAGTTCCCCTATTGTTTCAAGAGTAGTAACAGATGCTTCCAGGCAATTAACAACAACTTTTTTTTTGGATTATTAGGACATTATTTCTCATGACTGGAAACAGCCTTATCATATCATAAGGAGAAAAGTATGTGCAGTTCCAAAGTGACACCAATTATCTGGAGCAGGAGGGAAGCAATCTGCGGGCTCCCATTTTTGCAGTCTCTAAAGCTCCCACCCCCAAAAATACACTGTCAAACTTTGCAGCATGATCCCCTCTTTCTTACTTCCCACCCCGCTTTTCATAGATTGAAACTTAAAATAGCTGTGTTCAGTCTCTAGAGTAATAAAATATATGTTCTGTGTAAAAGGAAAAAAAATGAACCGCTTCCAAAATCAAGAAGAAGGGGCCTAAAATCGCAGCCCCACACAGTCTAGTACAGTGGTGGCTAACTTTTTTGGGCTCCTGTGCCAAAAATTGCAAGTACACCAGTGCGCCCAGACTCACATGCCAGCACCCAGAATGCAATGTGCCCCCCCACGCCCCCTGCACATGCGTGCACAATTCCCCCACCTCCACCCCCTTACCTGCAGAGTGCCTCACAGCTCATTTTTCGACTGGTTTGAGGCCTTTTCTGGCCTCATAGAGGCTTGGAAAAAGTCTCTGCAAGGCTTTTCAGGATGAATTATAGGCCCGGTATTACAGTAAGTGACAAAACGGGCCTATAATTTGGCCTGAGAAGCCTTGCAAAGGCTTTTTTCAAGCCTCTGGGAGGCGAAAAAAAGGCCTCAAACCAACAACAAAAATAATCAGCTGTGAGGCGTGCGCAGTGAGGTAAGTTTACCTGCGGCTCGTGTGCCAGCACAAATGGCTCTGCGTGCCACTTGTGGCACACGTGCCATAGGTTCGCCATCACAGGTCTAGTAGTATCATTCCATCATCAGCAGTGGAACTCAGAAGCCAAAACACATTTAAGAATAAAATGAAACTGCAATTTCTGGAGGAAAACTATTTCCTATTCCTGACCTAGAGAGTAAGAGATTTCTCTACTGAAAATATTTAGGACTAGGCTAGGCATTTGTTACTAATATTCTAGCTCTTTCTTTATGATACTAATTGAGATTTTGATCAGATGGACTATAAATCCACAATTCTAGGTTGTATCTATATTGTGATGGACTCTTGCTTAATGTATCACAAACTAGGTCAGTGTTTTTCAAACTTGGAACTTTAAGTGGTGTGGACTTCAAGAGTCGTGGCCCTCCTGAGCTCCGTTTTCACTAGCAGAAGCACCATGGACCGGTCCTTCACTGTTTCCAGGGCGGCCTCGTGGGCAAGATCTAAGCAACCTACGGGCCGGATCCAGCCCGCGAGCCTTGAGTTTGACATCCCTGATCTAGGTTGAGCAGATTTGATAGGGTTGCAGCTACTAGTGCTAATTCTCTGAATTGTTTAATATTGGAACTGGCAGTATTATAAGCAATAGCATAGTTCGCAAATAATGAGAAATCAGGATGTTCCTCTATAGACCCTATGATAAGCCTCTCACATGGATCCTTCTCCCCCTTTATTTTAATTCATTATGTATTGTGTTGATGTTATAAACTTTTAAAGACATTCAATAGAAACTAAGATAGAAAAATTAAAATGTAACCAACTAAATTACAGCAAAATTTAATGCTGGCAGAACTGACTAGCTCTTAAACTGGAAAGGCATGCTGTCTCGCTGAGGTCTCCTAAAAACTTCTGAAATTAGTCCCATGGGTGGTAGGCAATTGGCATTCAGAGGGAAAGGAAGTTAGGGAGTTTCTTCCTTTTCAGTCAATCAGTCTTGGCTGGATGCCTGCAGAATACCAGAACTTGAAGATTAAAACAGATTTAATGTGACAGAGCCTCAGAATTCATACCCAAAGCCTGTAGAAACTGGAAGGTAGAGGTAAAGCTGCTAGGGATAGTTGCATGAGGAATGATTTATTTCTTTTAAGCACTATTTGCTCCAATATTTGGATTCTCTGGGCATATTATCACACACCCCTTAACATGTCCTTAACATGTCCTTATAGCCATGTTTATATGAATCTCCTTATGACATTATATTTGTCTCTTCCCCAGCCCACAGATAAAACAGCTTAACATTGTCCAGAAGTTTCCCTTTCTCCAGGTATAATGTTGGTCCTAGGTATAATCTAACATCCTTCACTGACAATGTAGCTGTTGACATGATTTAAGATGGAAGCTGCTCAGTTCCTATTAGTGATGTTACACTGCCTCCATTTTGGGGGAAATGCCCTCCATGGCCATGTTAGATTGAACAACAGGGAAGACCAGACACCTGGCTAGATCTATCTATCTAATCCCTGACTTTGGGTTTCTGAAGTGCATCTAAGATCTTACAAAACCTCTTGTAGAAATAGGTTTATTGTTTTTTTGAAACAACACTAAATCTCTTGTTAACAGATTGAGAATGTGCTGCCATGAAGGTTAATTTTAACCTGGAAATAGAACTGGGGTTTGTTAATTTCATAAACAATTGTAGAACAATCTTTCAAGGATTTTACATGGCTATTCTGTTTATTACTTTGATTATCCAGAGTCCATTTTTCCTATTTCATTCCAGCTACATGAGTCTCCATAGGCTACTTCCAGAGTACCATGAGATCAGAATTAGGCTTATTCCCATCATTGCTATTTCTTTGCACTTCTAACTCACTCATTATCAGTTGTTCCTTCCTGTTTTATGTCCAATCTCTGTACCTGTTTCATGTAAATCAGATTATTTTGGGACAGAGGTCCAATTCTTTCAGAAGAGCTTACATTTCAATCCATATCCTCCTCCAGGATTATAACTGGACAGCTGGGCTATTTTTGATAGGAGTTTGGGTAAGATTTCCTTCCTTCCCCACTTCCTTCCTTCCTTCCTTCCTTCCTTCCTTCCTTCCTTCCTTCCTT